AATTGTATGTCCAGGAAGTAAACCTGTACATTCCTCACAGGTCACAACTCAACAAAACAAAGCACAATGTATCTTCCATGAGGTACATTTCTGAAATATTTTAAAAACCCATTTAAAACGTGTCTGAATCCCTTTATATATCCAGGGCCTCCAATGTTTCTTGGTTCGCTAGAGCCCGGATTTCTCCTCTTCTGTCTCTCTGTTGCTGTGATTACATGACACATTTAGCCAGATGAGTTAAATAGTCAGCAGTTGCATTTGCATCCATGCCAAATGCTGTTAGTGTTGGTTAGTGTTACCTTGCTTAGGTTTTGGTGTGTTTTTTTTTTGTGGCTCAATATGTTCTGGGAACTCATCCAATTTAGTTGGCTGATGATTCAATGTATTGTGCAAACCCAGAAATGAATTATGTCAATAACCAAGGTAACTGTGATTGCAAACCCAGCCAGTGTGATAAACCAGTAAAATAAATGGGAGGGACTTCAGTACCTTCCTCCAGTTGCCCCTCTTCATTAGAAAGGCCTATATAATTCAATAATATAATATTATGTTTGACATGCAAAACCACCAATTCCGGTTTAAATCCTGATGTTTCTAAGTAGGATGGGGAAATGCTAGAGGGCTTCTGTCAATCAATGTGTGCGTAAAAGTGGACTCGTTTGACTAATGATGTGATGTGGGGTAAGGCAGCTCTACATTTTTTCTTTAGAAAGTAGTGAAAATAAGGATCACAGGAATTGTTCATGGTTACCTTTGGAGTGGAATATTCCTTGTACTTTGCCATACCTCAACCCACATTGTTATATGAGGGGGTGGGGCTACTGATTACATAGTGACATTACATGCAATATGTTGTACTGAAGTAGAAGGAATTTGCTCATTGGATCATGTTCTAATTTAAACAGAGGGTCATCAATAGTGAATGCATGTCAAATATTGTATGGAGTACTTTGGTGGTAATGCAACCATTCTAGGATCCTGAGGTCTACTGGTACTACTGTATTGGGATGTTGCTAACTATAAGTAAAGTATAACCAAATCCAGATTACTAAAAGAAAATGCAGATTACAAATAAAATGTATAGATTATTGGAATAATGTATGATGTTCTCCCTCAGTTAGTGGCTTCTAGATAATTTGAACTATAACTCCTAGAATTTCCTGGCAACAAGAACTTTGACAGGGATTGATTCATTTCCTGAGGCTTCTATGCCACTGCAATTACAGCTGACTCTGAGCCACTTGCACTTCAATTTATAGTAATAGGTTCAAAATATACCATAATATAATGCCACTTAATAGTGTAATATAATACAGCACCAAGGAACAATCCATAACCATCAGTGAAAAACACCCCTATCTAGATCTCAGTGGCCTTCCAGAATCCTTGCAGAATTGGGACCATTCTAATCTTTGTGAATCCAGATAAGAGGGCAGTGATAGAGAAGACATGCTTCAGTGCTCCTGATCATGACACTCTGTAAAGTTGTGTCAGCACTTCAAGGTAGACCAGGCTAGGAAACCAAAGTTATGAATTAGGCATGCTACTTTTATTATAAAGTCACAGTAACAGAATCTGAATGCACCTCCCCTCTCCCTCTCTTTATCCACAAGAGAACTAGGGAGGGTCAAAGAGATGCTTTATCAAATTACATTTCTGCCTTGGACTCAAATTCTTTTGTTTGACCGTTGTCTTGAGCTCCTGTTCTTCCAGCTCTTCCTCCTGTTCCTCAGGGTTACTTTTAAAGCCCATTACAGGTTGGGACCTTGGCAAGTCTTCCCTTCCTGTTTTTATTAAGTGGGCAGATGCCACTTAAGAGTAGGCAGTCTCACTGATATCCAGGTCCTTAACCATGAAGGGTTTTAAAGGTCACAATCAGCACCTTGAATTTCACCCAGAAGCCAACTGGCAGCCAGTACAACTCTCAAAACAGAGATGTCACACAGGCAAATTGGATTATTTCTATTGTTAGTTAAGCTGCTGCATTCTGCACCAGCTGTAACTTCTGAATGGTCTTCAAGGGCAGTCCCACATTGAGTGTCTTGCAGTATTCCAACTGATCAAGGTGATCAAGGCATGTGGAATTACAAGCAGGGCCTTCCAGTCAGAAATGGATGTTACTAACGCACAGGATGGAGTTGCTCAAAAGCCCTCCTGGCCATAGCTACTACCTGCTCATGTAAAAGAGGGTTAAAGAGAATCCTAGGACATGACTTCTTCCTTTCCATCAATTGAAATTGCTCAGTCTTGAAGGAGGAGAACCAGTGCAAAGCAATACTTCTCACTTATAACCCTTGAAAGTAGTCCAGTTGGATAGCATGATCAATAGTACTGAAGGCAGCTGAGACGTCTAGCAGAATTATGATGTTCACATTCCTCCAACATTATCCCCACAGGTCATCCACAAGAGAAATCAAACCCAAGATCTGGGTTCTATGCTCAGACCCTGATAGAAAAGGGCCCAGATTCATCCACTTCACCAGGGCCCTCATCAGATGTAGGCCCTCTACCCATTCAACCCCCTTCTCTCCAAAGGGGAAGTTGAAATTTGGTTAATAGTAATCAAAAACAGCTAGGTCAAACAATATTTTGAGGAGGGGATGTACCACTGCTTCCTTCTAGGGAGTCAGTGCCACTCCCCTCATTCAAGGATGCATCAACCACTGCCCTGACCCAACCTCCTGTTACTTCCAAGTCACAGGTAGCAAAGCTGATGTTGCAGAGAATCCCATCTACTTCCTCTGGACCAAGTAAGTTATAATCCTCCCGGATGCTGATTGTGTTACTCTATGAGATTTCTCACCTTGAACAGCCATCTCTGAGTGAATATGAGTGATTTTACTTCCAGATATCTAACAATTTTATCATAGCAGCCCATTAAATGCTCTTCCACCCCATCCTTCCCTAAAAGGCTCCAGGTTACACTATAAAGGGCTCATAGTCAGCAACCTGTGGAAGTATAAGAGCAGCAAAACTTCCCTGCTCTTACTGCACAGTGTAGGCTCAAACTTGAGCTCTTACCCATTGTTGTTCAGTCGTTCTTACCCATGTTCAGCCATATTTTCTGTTTGTCTTTTACCAGTATCACTCTATGGATCTCCTTTGTTGCTTCATCTCCCAGAGCTCCTCAGTAAACCAGGAGTAACCTTGGCTTGGTGAGCAGGGAGAAATCGCGCAGGTACAATCCAATCAAGAGCCCCAGTCACCTCCATGTGCCAGAGGCTGATCAAAGTCTCGACAGAACTGCCCACCAGCTCCATGGAATTCTTCAAGCATTCAATCAAGTAGATCCATTAGCTATCTGGGATGGCCCATCAATTTGGTTCCCCCTTGGCCTGGAGATTGGTTGCACTGGTCAGCCCCATAGTAATCAGAGAGTGATCTGACCATGGCAAAGGACAAATATTAAGATTGTCTACTTCAGATCACATTGTACCTGTTCTGAGACAAAAAGCAAACCTAATGTGTGGCCTCAAACATGTTTCACCCTCAGTTACTTGGGATAAGCCTAAGCCTTGCATGGCTTCCTAGCATTATAAATTGTGAAACACCATCATCAACCAGATGGTAAGGTCAAGCACAGTGGGATGCCACCATACAACAGGGAGTCCAGTATAGCAGCAGGAGTTTCAATTTGATCCTTGAGCCCAGCTTTTAGAAATAAGGCTTCATATCTGGTTATCGGTGGATCACCATCTCTGGTCACCTGCAGAACATCCAAATGATACTTGCCACCAATCTTCCCTGCTCTTAGCTCACAGCTAATTCCAGACCCAAAACATAGAGGGACATATTTCTGAGAGAGGAACATCCCCCTCCTCACCTACCCGGGCCTCAGGGATGCAAGCAGGCCTGCCCTTCCATCCACAATTAGGTGATAGATAAAGAGAGATTTATTCCAGGCAGAATTGGCATTCTGCAGCAGTAGCTGGAGCCCAAGGCTCCTCAGGTGAGGGCAGGGAGCAAGAAGTGGGAATTAGCCTTGCATGTCCAATCTTCCTTTCCTGAGTCTGGCCACCCCTTCCCTCCCACCATATCTCCCTTTGCCTGTCCCTAACCTTTCTTCATCCCTTCATCTTTTCCCCTTTCACACTCCACAGTCCCTGATATCTGCCCACACCTGTTTGCAGTTATAGCCTATACATCCTACCTTAATGTCATATGAATCATGGATACCCATTTTCTGTACTGTATTTTTAAATATGCACCTGAAATCTAAATAAACATATATTTGGGGAAACTGTAAAAATAGATTTAAGAAACCTCCACCCTTTGAAAACTTTGTAAACCCCACCTCCTCTTTTGTGGACTTTCAGCTAGTTCCTGCTTTTTTCCTATTTTTTCCATCAGATTCTTTTATCACTTTTGGTAGGGAACCCATAATATTCAGAGCATATTATGCATTAGCATTTTTTTTTCATGTGTCACATAGCTGGCTGGTCTGAACGGAATGCCAAGCAATTGTTAGGTGGTTAAGTTTAACCATGATTAATGAACACAAAGTTCAAAATATACTTTACCAAGCTGACATGTTCTCATTTGCCTTTATAAAAGCTAACCACAATTTAGGTCAAATGGCACATAGAACCATAGTTAATGTAAAACCCAAACCTTCCAATTTGCATCTTGGATCTAGGCTGCAAGCTCAGGGGGAGGATAGGTTGTACCGAAATGTAGTCATTGTTGTAATGTTTCTTTGCTTTCTCCATTGCTTTGTGGTCATGCAATTATACAGCATTTTGGAATGACATCGTTGCAGTTTGCTCAAAGCACACATTCATCAACATTCCCAGTCAACCTGCCTTGACACGGAGCATACGAATACAAAGAATGAAACTCTTCAAAATAAGCAGGTTGGGCATGAATTTGCCAAGGCTAAATTTTTGAAATAGAGATGACATCAGCTTTTCATCACCTTCAAGAACTGATATGACCCCTTGACAAACCTTAACTTCTTAGCATCTGCTCTATCTGCTTAGTCTCCACCAACACTTTTTTACCTTTTGAATTTTATTCCAGACACGTTCTTTATCACTTTTCCTTCCTTCGAGGGTGTCCATGGCATCTGCCATTAGTGACTGCAGCTGTGACACCAAGATAAAAATTATCGGAATGGAATTCACACAGAAATAACTTCCCTAAATACCCAGATTAAAAGCTAATTAAAAAATCATTTGTACGCTGATGATTTTATTGTTCATCTTTTGCACAATGAGCATCATCATCATCACTTTTTCCCCCCTTGGACTCATCCACATTTTGATTTTTGTTATTGTGGGATAAATAATGACCCCAAATAAGTAAATATGCATAGTAGAATATGAGCTTTAGTATAGGACTTTTTTGTTGTTGTTGATAATCAGGTTTATAACAATTGCATTTTTAATAAATATTCAATATTTGTGTTCTATAGTAACACTGAAAAATTAGAACATTTAAGTCCCATTAATTTCACTATGACAACTGAGTGCAGGCTCATTTCTTCTACTAAAATTAGAATGAAACTAAAATATATAGCAGACTGGACAGTAGCCGTGGGAAGGATTTTTTGTATTTTTAAACCATTCGCTTTCAGTTATTTATTTGTTTATTTGTGTTTATATATATTTTTCACATTTCTAAGGCCATCAGCTTGTCAATGACTCTGGACAATGTACAAAATTAAAAACAAGGGTGTAAAACAACCATCACAAGCCAAAAAAGGAGATGGTCAACTTGGTGGAACAAGCTATAAAGCCCCTTACTTAGGGAGCCTGCATCGCACCCTAGTCCAGAGCCTGGGGAAAGAGTCAG